TGATTCTATGACATGGGAACCTCCAGCCAGACCAAGAGGGACTTGGAGTTCCTTCTGCCCTGCAACAATGTGAAGTGCAGGGGGGAACCTGCCGGGACAGTGCCACGAGCTCCGTCTCCTCCAAACTCACCATGACTTGGCGCAGCACCGTTCTTCCACCTCTCACCTACCCTCTTGTCTCTTGTAGCCTACGATCCTCAACAGATCTTCAAGTGCAAAGGGACCTTTGTGGGACACCAAGGCCCTGTCTGGTGTTTGTGCGTTTACTCCATAGGGGACTTGCTCTTCAGCGGCTCTTCAGACAAAACCATTAAGGTGAGCACCTGCCTCTTCTGTGCATCTTCTGCCTTGTAAACGTGCTTCGGGTGGGACACAAGCTGAGGGGCGTGGGGGATGTCACTTCCCAAAGTTTCTCCCAGAGAATCTTCAGTGATTCTTTGCATTTGCAGTTGGGCAGAATTCTCTGCGAGGGAATGTAAGAGACAAATAGTGGGGTTTGTTGTTTTTTTTTTTTTTTTTTTTACAACCTTTATCTACTGCGTGAAAATTCATATGCAATTGGTAATGCGCGTTTGGGGAATCCAAGCCTATTTTGTTCAGCTTCTGATTTTATTTTCCCTTGTTATAAAAAGTCATCCTAGAGAAAAAAACCTTTTTCCCTGATGAAATGTGTCTTTTTTCCGTTCTGTGGTATGTTTGTTTTCCTTTGTCCTGTGGTCAGTAACTGCTCCAGTGCAACCTAAACAGCAGTTCCTGGTGTCACTGGAGTGGCTGCCGGGGAGCTGGTTGCTGTGACCAGCCCTGCCAGGAGCAGACCTTTGGTTTAGCTTCTTTGAGCCACATGGAAGAAAAGGGTCGTTGCTGTTCTTTATCAAAATAGCTTTCTCCCCTGTCCTGGCTGCTCTGGGCACCACATTCCCACGTCCCCTCTCCTGGGAGAGCGGTGTGTGGTCGGTGGTGAAAACCTTTGCAGTCTCAGAGGTGGCTGTGCCCCAGGAGCCCCCGGCCAGGGTGTGAATTGCTGAAGCAGGAGCCCAAGAGCTGCTTCTCTGGTTCGTTGCAGAGTGTTGGCCTGGGCAGAGAAAGGCAGAGCTGGAGAGGGCTGATGCGTGCTGCTCTCCAGTGTCCCATTAACTGCAACCTGACCCTTTGCAGTAAGTTGCCTTTCCTAGACAAGCTTATCTCTGCCCGGAGGCCGGAAGGCAGGTGCCCAGGTGACAGCCTGTTTCCTCATCTCCTTGCTTTTGTGACTTTGCTGACATCCTGCCCGGCTCCCCAGCTGCTCCGTCTGCTGACTTGTGTTTCCTGTTAGGTGTGGGATACCTGTACCACATACAAGTGCCAAAAGACCTTGGAGGGTCACGATGGAATTGTACTGGCTCTCTGCATCCAGGGGTGAGTGGAGAGGGACACCTACCCCTGCAGGAGAGAGTAGGGGGAGCGCTGGGGCTCCTGAGCGTGCCTTTACAATTCCCACCCTCAGTCCCATGCCAGGACGTGCACGAGAGGCACATCTTGCCTCTTTGCTCTTTAAAAATCGACCAAGCACGTGTCTCTTTGACCTCCCCTGCTTTGGCTTACTTCCCTGGTCACCAGCGGGGTGCCTGGCCTCCTGCTCAAAGGGCCAATCTGGCCTGGCCTTCCCCTGAGACCTGGGCTCCGCTCCTGGGGTTGCTGTGTTTAGTCTCGGCCCAGTGAGGCTGTGGGACTGCAGCTCTGTGCCCAGCACGGTGTCTGGGAATGAGCTGGGACCCTGCTCTCTCCCTCGCTGACCTCCTTTTGTTTTCTGTTGACATTACAGGAACAAGCTGTACAGTGGCTCTGCTGACTGCACCATTATTGTGAGTACCCAGGACCCCCGCGCCGCTTCCTGGCCGGGCTGTGAGACCTACAGGCCAGCCCTAGGCTGCCGTGGGGCAGGGACCTGCTTCCCTTTTTCTGTAGGGCTCTTCAGCCTCCAGTGGTGTAACAGAGGTCATGGAATCACAGACTGGTTTGGGTGGGAAGGGACCTTGAAGCCCATCCAGTCCCACACCCTGCCATGGGCAGGGACACCTTCCATAGACCAGGTTGCTCCAAGCCTCATCCAGCCTGGCCTTGGACACTCCCAGGGATGGGGCATCCACAGCTTCTCTGGGAACCTGTCCCAGTGCTCCCCAACCTCCCTGGGAAGATAACCCATGTGTGCTTTATCCCTTGCTTTCAGCCAAGCTGCTGGTGGGTCGGATTTGGGTGTTGCCCACTGGGTGGGTTTCCCATTCCCTGCTCCTGTGTGGGGAGCAGGAGGCTGGTTCTCTAACCTGGGACAGGGTGGTGGATCCTGGTCAAGCCAGGAGAGTGGCTCTTACACGTGCCCTGTCCTGCCTGTGGTTTTGCCTCCCCCAGAGGCAAAGAGGCCTGCCACTGCCCCTCACGGGCGCTCCTCTTCTCCCTTGCAGGTCTGGGATATTCAGAACCTGCAGAAAGTGAACACGATCCGAGCGCACGACAATCCCGTTTGCACTTTGGTCTCCTCGCACAACATGCTGTTCAGCGGCTCCCTCAAAGCCATCAAGGTAGAGCTCTGGGGTTGCCTTTTGGCCTGGTTGGGGTCCGATGGTACAAACTGCCAGGCAGCAGCATCCAAATGGGAAGAAAGTGGCAGTTTGGTGTGTGGGTGACCTTGTTCCTGTGCTCTCCAGAGCCACGCAGAGAAGCACAGCCACACAGAGCAGCCAGAGGTTTAGCCCATGCTCTGTGCTCAAGTCCAAGATGTCCTGGGACCTGGCTGAAAAATTAACTTCTGTTTCTTCTGACTCTGTAAACCTGAGGCTGGAGGTGGAGTATCTTGGCAATTCCTGAGCATGTTGGTCCAACAGACCTACTCAGACCACTGGGAATTGCATCTGGGCTCCAGAATTGGCTGGGGATTCCGGCTGCCTGTCTTGAAACCCCCTCCAAAGGGTCTTGAATCTGCATCCTTTCCCTAAAGCCTGCAGAAATCAGGGAACAGCTTTGCAAGTTGCCCTTTAAAGCCTTGGCTAGATTCCCTTGGTTCTGCTTCCAGCTCCTGCTGAGGCAGCTTATGGGCCCGTCCATCTGTGAGAGGGCGCATGCTCTTTTCTCTCTCGGAGGCCTGGTTCAGCTGTCTGGAGAGCGCTCGGGGCCGGAGGAGCAGGCACCAAGCAGAACTTGGGGCCTTTTGGTTTCATCACCCCCAGCCTCTTAGTGCCACATGAGCCAAGCAGGCCTATGGCATTGCTCGGAGTGGGGGTGTGCGACCCGTTGGACCCTGTGGGCTGGGGGTTTCAGCCACAGTTTCCCAGGAGCTGTGAGAATGGAGCATTGTGGCTGGGAGAGGGAATCTGGAGCGGTTCTTTACTGTAGATTTGAGTTATGCTTTTCAAGCCCGTGGCTCTGCTAGGGAAGGGTCTCTGCTGGGGACAATGCAGGCTCCCAGCGAGCTTTCCCAGGCCCTCGGGGAACGTGCCTATTCATCGTTACTGTGTGGTTTATCTGCAAGTCTGTAGGTTCAGGCGATTCCCACGGGGCCGGAGCCAGCACGAGGTTCCCCTTAGGGAGCTGGGAGGGCCATGTGCTGGCTGGGCAGGGGGTGCGGCGACTGGCCCTGAGCTGGAGGCTGACCCGTTCCGCCCCTTCACTGCCCAGCCCCACTGAAACTCCTCCTTGTCTGTGTTTTCCACAGGTCTGGGATATTGTAGGTACCGAGCTCAAACTGAAGAAGGAGCTGACGGGTCTCAATCACTGGGTGCGAGCGCTGGTGGCTTCTCAAAACTATCTCTACAGCGGCTCTTACCAAACGATCAAGGTGAGACCCTGAGACTCGTGGCAACCGCAAGCCATCGGCTCTCCCCACGGCTGTATCCTGCAGCATGGGGGGCAGCAGGGCAAAAGGAGCCGCTCTCGCCTTGCTGACACTTTACTGTGCCGATGGCATCCTTGGAGGCACGAAGGCTGGGCTCCGTCCGGTCCTTGGGAGCGCAGCTGCCGGGGGGTGCTCGGGGAGATGCAGCGTGGCCGCGCAGCCGCGGCAGCGTTATCTGTGCCCACAGGCCCGCTGGTAAAGGTGAAGGTCGCTGCCTGGCCCCAGAGTTACCGTAAATCCGCGTGTGGGTGCCCTCATCTCTGTTGGCTCAGGCTTTGATGAATCGTTCACCTCCCAGCATCTGGGTGACACGAGAGTTTCAAGTTGCCCTTCTGGGTGTTAATAAATCCCCACGTCGGTTTTTAGTGCTGACAAGGACGGGGTTGCCCGTGCACGTGTGTGCACAGTCACACGAGGTGTGTGATCTCCACAGCTTTTCCAGCCTGGATGCTTGAAGCTGGGTAGCTACATGAGATAGCAGGACCTTGCTCGTTGGTACTGACCATTCCCAGCTGGACAGATTTGTCCTTGCTTTGTCCAGACTGAGCCTTAAAGATGGGTTCTGGGCACACATGGGTCTCATCCTGCCTTTGCTCCGGCCTCTCTTTCAGATCTGGGACATCCGCAACCTGGAGTGCGTCCACGTGCTGCAGACGTCAGGCGGCAGCGTCTACTCCATCGCGGTGACAAACCACCACATCGTGTGTGGCACCTACGAGAACCTCATCCACGTAAGGGCTGTGGGGTGCGACTGGCTGGCCTAGGGCTGGGGGAGAGGGGTGGGGAGATGGGACCCTGCTCTGCCGGTGCCCTTCATGGCACACCCGGAGCACGGCTGTGCAGCGCCTGCCTTGGAGGGGTGCGGGGAGGTGGACACTCCGCTCGGAGAAGAAGCTGGTGGCCCGCGGCGCAGTGCAATCCCCAGAACCTGCTCTCTCCCTGCAGGTCTGGGATATAGAGACAAAGGAACAAGTGCGCACGCTGACCGGGCACGTGGGTACAGTCTACGCCCTCGCTGTCATCTCCACGCCGGATCAAACCAAAGTCTTCAGTGCGTCGTACGACCGGTCACTCAGGGTACGTGCCCAGGGCTGCGCAGCCACCTCTGTGCATTGGCGCTGTGAAAGCACAGTCTTGAGGGGACGGAGGGACAGGGGATCCTCATCCCTCCGTGCCACGTGGCCTTGTGGTTGCGTCACCTGGCTCAAACCCCGCGGCACTCAGCACCCCCCTGTCCCTCCCGGAGCTGGTGTTGTGGCGGAGCCGCGTGCCGCTCGCTTGGCTCACGCCTCCCGTGTGTCCGTAGGTGTGGAGCATGGACAACATGATCTGCACTCAGACGCTGCTGCGGCACCAGGGCAGCGTCACTGCCCTTGCAGTCTCCAGGGGACGCCTCTTTTCCGGCGCCGTGGACAGCACTGTAAAGGTTGGTTTCCTTGGGCTTCCCGTTGCGGTTTGGCACTTCCGGTACTGGAACTTGGGCATTACATGAGCAACGAGCCATTTCCAGTGAACGAGGGGACAGATCTTGATGGGTGGGAGGTTTCACTCCTGACAGAGGGTGTTGTGGAAGCCAGAAGCCCAAAGGGAAACCCCACAAGATGAAGAGAAGCCGCTGCGAAGTCACTGCCATGGGTTCCTCTCTCTCTCCTCCCTAGGTGTGGACGTGCTAGTCCTGCACACCAAACGACCAACCCCCTTCCGTCGGCCTGCTGGGTGTCCAACGCCACTACGAAGTAACTGCTGCAGCTCCTCTCCGCACCGAGCACTGCCTGCTCCCGCCTCAGCCGGCTCCGCGCCCGCAAGGACCCGCTGGCAGCTCTCAGGATGCTCCGGCCCACCGATGTTGGACGTTCCCTCGGATCTGCCGCGTAGGGTTGGAAACGCAGAGGAAGCCGTTCTGGCACCTTCCTCACTGCTGGGTACCCTCCCCGCTGGGG